ACTACTTGGCTTGAGGGTGCCCATGGGATCTGGGGGGTGTTTAACGTTTTAGGGGTGTGCAGAGGCTTAGTTGTGGAGTTTCTACGGGTATGACGTAGGTGTTTGTGGTTTCCCATGGGGTATTCAGTGGACATTTAGGGTTTGGAGATCTGACAGTTGGCAGAGATTGTCAGTGCCCATGGGTCAGACACTAAGGGTCCGGATGAGTGGTGTTTTGGGTTCATGTTCTGTGATGTTCATGGAGTTTGTGTTGAGCTTGGGGTGTGGATGTCCTCAGGGAATATGGGGGCTGAGATGAAGGATGCGGGGACTCTCCACAGTGTGGATTTGGGTTGTGCATGGGTTGGGTTTGGGGAGTGCAGATAAAGTTATGGCAAGCCATACAGTACTGGAGGTCTTCTGGGTTCACCATGGGTTTTGGGTTCCTCTTATGGTCTGCTAGGAGGTGGAGAGCTTAGGGAGCAGTTTGGAATTTAAGGTCATCACACACAGACTCTTACCTGGAGCTCCTTGGCCTTGGAACTCTTGAGGGGTTCACCTGCATCAAAAAGAGGAAAGGGGGAGGGTCGCGGTTACAGAGGAACTCAGAGGGATCCCATAGGGACATGGAGGGGGATTTATACAGGATGGACAGGGAAATGGGAACTCCAGGGTATGGACTGGGGGTGCAGTGTGCAGCAGTGAGTGCTTGCAGCATCTCTGGGAGATGAAACCATTTAACCCCTTCCTCACCAGAGCTGGCAGTTCTCTGTATCCGGCGTCTGCGGGCAGGCAGGAGGAAGAAGGTGATGAGGATGAGGCCGAAGGCGAGGGCAGTGGCACAGCCCCCTGCCACTGCCACAACCAGGCTCCCACGGGATTCCCCATTGGCACCTGTGCAGTCCGGGTGTTTGGGTGATGCCATCCCCAGAAACCGCGTCCCTGGGGACGGGTTGAGGTGACACTGCCACCCATGGGTGATACGAGGGACATAGACATGGGAGACTCAGACCTACCTGGACGTGTAGGTGGGGATGTCACCTCAAGTGTCACGCTGTCCCCGAGGGGTGAGGACACAAAGGGGTGACCCCAGGGGCGGTAGGAGCAGCTGTAGGTGCCGGTGTCAGCTGGGGACACCCCAAAGAGGGTGAAGGTGGCCATTCCTCCACCACTGGGGTCCTGGCGCTGGACAGGGGCTGAGTGCCCACCCTTGTGCAGGAGGAAGGAGGATCCATAATCCCAGTTCCAGCACTGAATGGTGACATTGGACCCCCTCCCCACGTGGATACTGATATTGATGGCTGTCATCACGTGTCCCTCAAAGCTCAGAGAAATGCCAGGTGGGGGGTACCTGCGATCTGTGTGCAGGGAGGGCAGAGAGGTGGGACACCACCCTGTGGGTACAGCCCAAGGCCCACCATTATTCCCAGTGCCCTCACCTGTCAGCAGCAGCTCCACGGGATCGCTCTTTTCTGATGTCCCCAG